TTTTAACCTCTTCCTGAGTTACAAAAGCTGTTTCTTCCAAATGATTCTGTAAGCTACGAAACAAATGGTAGTCTGAAGGAGCAAGATCGGGAGAATAAGGTGGATGAGGAATTTTCTCCCAACCAGGTTCTTCGATCTTTTGTGACATGATTCTTGCTGTGTGGGATCGCGCATTGTCCTGATGAAACATCAACTCTTTTCGATTCACTAGAGCAGGTCTTTTTTTCCTCAAAGCTTCGTTCAAACGCTCTAATTGCTAACAGTATATTTGAGCATTAATTGTTGCATTAAGTGGTAAGAATTCAAAGTGGATTATTCCTTGGCGATCCCACCAGATTGAAAGAAGAACCTTTTGTCCATGAAGTTTTCTTCTCGGCTGTGGTTTGGGTCCTTCCCTTTTACCAAGCCACTGTCTACGACGCTTAACATTTCGATAAAAGATCCATTTTTCGTTGCCAGACACAAGTCTATCCAAAAAAGGTGAAACAAGTTAGCGAGAATGGAGAGAAGAGCAGATGTCAACTCGGGATTTGAGGTTGTTTTCAGACAATTCATGAGACACCAATTTTCCAAGTTTTAGGAACTTTTCCAAGTTGTTGAAGATGACGATGAACAGTTGTATGGTTTGAACTGAGAACCACTGCCAATTTCTCAACTGATAAAGCAGGATTTTCTTCAAGAGCTGCTTCAAGAAGCTTTTCATCAAACTCAACTGGACGTCTGGTTCGATCTTCATCTTCAAGGGTGAAATCTCCACCTCTGAATTTTGCAAACCATTTTCTGCAAGTTCTTTCATTCACACATTCCTCTCTATAAACTGAGTGAATGTTTCTAGCCGCTTCGGCTGCTGAGTTTCCTTTCTTGAACTCATAAAGCATTATGTGCCTCAAATGATTCTTGGGTACTTCCATGTTAGCAGGGCTTTAATCAAAGAAAATTTAATTTTATTGTTCTCTGAAATAAAATTTGATCAGTTTAAATGCATCTAAACATAAAAATAATGTTCAGGTCCATTAGACATGATAAAATACTCTTTAAATTTCGTTCATTTTAACAAAAAGTTAAAATTCGGACAGAACTTATGGGATGACCTGATATATATATATATATATATATATATATATATATATATATATATATATATATATATATAATAGTATTGAACAGCAGATCATTATTCAAACATATATTGTTAAATATAACAGACAACGAATGTTTAGCATGTCTGATCATGAGCCATTCTAAGCTTCGTATTGTGGCTTTAGATTTCACAACCAGCATGAAAAGAAGATCTATCCATCATGAGGGTTCCTGAATATCTGAATTAATAAATTAAAACCAGTATATGAAAACAGCTATTGAACGGGAAAGTTACTTTTACCAAAATGTTCATGTCTAGAACAGCGAACTCGATTATTCTCATGTATAGAAAAATAAACCAAATCATTATCTTGCAAAGAATAGCAAACTCTACCGTCACAAGATCCCGAACTTCAGACAACAGCGATCAAGAGAAAAAAAAAAAAATTAATGGAATAATTTGTTATCTTTCGATATTTATCCAGCGCACATGCACAAAACTACTGGGACTTTTCAATTCTGTTTTTGTTTTGTAGTTTTTGCTTGTACCGTCATTTCCGGTAAATCGATTAAGTCGTTAAGCATCTGTGGGGATTGTCGGTGTCTGTCAAAGGGATGCCATCAAATCTCGAACAATTAAACGAGATTTCGATATGAGTTAGTCACATAAACGCCCTCCTTCCTGTCACTTAATTAATTGCCTTCATTTTATTTTTCAGCGGAACGTGACCGGGGCAACTAAGTACACGAAAAAAAAATCAGGATAAAAACAAAAAAATCCTCGTTGATTCTGATACAACGCACTAGAATAGGGAAGAGTTGACTTTGAGCGGGTATCGAGATTGGAGTAGAGGTTGTCTGGATATTGTCTTTTTCGACATTTGTAGGTCATTGCGTGGGTAAAGAACGACATGAAAGGAAAGAGCGCATTTCCGTAGACGAAAATGGAATTGGGGGGTGAGTTGGGAATTGGTGAAGGAAGCATTCAAAAGGTTGAAGTGAAGATGTCAAATGTCAAAATTGAAATATAATTGAACGACACATGGCAACAGTAGTTGGAAAGAAGAGATTCTCGATAGAGAAATGTGTTAAAAACAGAAGACATTGGAAATTACGATATTTGACGACATAAAGTAGGCACTGACATATTACACGTCCCCTCTCCCAGTCATTTCAGAAGGGTTTGTCCAGAAAAAGAAAAGATTTTTTAGTGTATTTAAGCATGTAATATTTAAAGCATGCTATCAGTAAATGCCTCTTTTTTGCGCCGTGTTTCTTCAGGACATGAACGATTATGAATTCCCACAATTTTCCCTCTCGACCGCGGTGATGGAACGCGGCCGGATGGCATTACCATTTTCCCTTTTAAAATGGGGAAGTCGTTGATTTGGGATGTGACCTGTGCGGATACATTTTCGGCCGGTAATTTGATCAGGTCCGCGGTTGAGCCGGGGATCAGTCGCCCGGGACGCAGAGATGAAAAAAATAGTTAAATATTCTTCTCTTGCTGATGGATTTTTTTTTTTTTTTACTCTTGTGGCAGTGGAGACTTCAGGGGGTTATTGGCCCTCATTCGATGGCGTTCCTTTGGAGGATTGGCGCGATTGCGTCTCGATTAAGGGACGAGCCTCGAGAAACGGAATGGCTCTTGCAGCGTGTCTCACTGGCGATGGTTCGAGGTAATGCTTTCTCCATCATTGCGGCCGGCAGAGGAGAGAAAAAAATTGTTTATAGTTACGTTGTTCTGGAATTGTCATCAGTGGTCAACTGAACTTGTTTTCTTTCAATAAATTTATTCTTTGTTCTCTTGCTATTCTTCCTGTTCCCGTGATCATGACTCTCCACAACTTTCTATCCTTTGTAGCTCTGCGTAATGCTTGTCTTCTTATTATCCATCCTAGTCTCTGTTCTACCATCGATTTAAACAAGCTTGTTAGGTAGGTGATGATGACTCTCCACAACTTCCTATCCTATGTAGTGCTAGATAATGCTTGTGTCCTTACTATTTATGAGACGAACTTAACTGGGTAAAATAAGCCAAGAAATATTGAAAGAAATATGAGAAAATATGGGTAAAATAAATCAAGAAATATTGAAAGAAATATGAAAAAAATAACTGAACTGGGTAAAGTAAGTCAAGAAATATCGAAAAAAATATAAAAATTGACTCATTAAAAATTGCCACACAAGTCAATTAATGGAAGGACACAAGTGAGTGTATCTCTTGGTTCCACAAAATCACAAATAAAAACCAATATGTATTTGTAAAATACGACATTAAAAACTTTTATCAATCTATATCTAACAAAAGGTCTGCTGGAGGCTTTGCACTTCACTAAAGGCTTTGTAAACATCACACCTGATCAAACAGAAATGACTTTACATTGTCGTAAATCAATTTTAATTCACAATGAAGTAACCTGGGTTACAAAATAAAAAATAAAAAAAACGGCTTCGATGTACCACAAGGTTCGTTTGATGTAGCTGAGGTTTCAGAGTTAATAGGTCTACATATCTCTATCTATAAAAGGCAGGATGTGTGTGTGTGTGTGTGTGTGTGTGTGTGTGTGTGTGTGTGTGTGCGCTCGCGCGTAACGAATGCACGGCCGCAATTTTCGACGGATTTGCACCAAAATTTACATGCACATGCTCCAAGTTAGCGGGAAGGCCAAGACCGAATTTGCATTTCCAAACTCCTATCGATAGTGGAAATAATCGATTTTTTCATGCTTCTACGGCAGTTTTCATGTAGTTTGCGGCCATTTTCTACTAGCCAGAGTGAGAGCTTATAGCTGGCTGCCACGAATAGGCAGGATGATTCTATTGGCCAGCGTGAGAGCCCACAGCTGACGGACACAAATGTTAACTAATGCAGTTGTTATTCGATTGTTCGATCGACTGATACACGAGGCATGTAGCAAATACTTGATTTCTTTACCAAAAAATTAACTTTAAATTGTTTCTTTTACATCAAAACAAAGTGCGAAGCGATTATGTATAGAACATTTCTTAGATGTACGTCTAATCTACAAGTATGGGACACCTAGTGAGAAGCGAATATACTATTAAATAATTATGTGAAACAAACTTGCTAGCCATTATATCAAAATGAAGCGCTTTAATGAAATGAGAAGACCAAATTTAATGATCTCAGAATGAGTGACACTGATGCAGAATGAGACTTTAACCTAACACTGAATAAACACTGCCAAAGAAAAAAAAACTTTTATCTTACTTGTAAAATTTGGTCACTTGCAATTGACAGTTTAAGACAGGGGTTCCCAAACTTTTTTTCTCTGAAAATTTACTCGTGCCTCACCAAAGAAAAGTTCTGATAAAATGGCGCAAGTAGCCCTACGGCAAAGAAGGTCCAGAGAGATGGTTAAAGGGAGATAACCTCGAATTCGAAGTTAGAACATTATCATTGATAACTCTCTCCTTCAGTTTGCGGACCCTAGTTATTATATTTTTAATACTTGATAGAATGCAAATCTATCACAATGATAAAATAGGTCAATAATTATTTATATCTATTTGCATGCAAGTAATCGATAATAATATTTTAAATTTTAGAATTATATTTATTTTTGGCATAAGAATTTTTTTGAAACTTCTAAATCTTTGATTGTTTTTCAATCATTCCGCCTCACCAGCTATCCTCTTCCGCCACACCTATGAGGCGTGCCGCACCATTTCGGAACCAATTGCTTGAGGTGACAAAGAAGAGTAAAAAGTGTTTAATTAGGATACTAGAAAAGAAATCATTTTGCAGACATTAAACCAGTTGATCATCAAATTTGATCCTTTCTTATACAGAGTATCCAAAAAAATAAAAGTAAAAATAAAAATAAAAAATAAAATAAAATTTACTCACTTTTTGACTTCTTCTAACTTAAATTTATTTCTTTTTTTCATATCCAATGCACTCTAATAATGGTATGAATACAACTAAGTTTGGAAGAAAAAAAATTGTCATCAAGTCTATCTATCTATCTATCTATCTATCTATCTATCTTTTTCTGTATGTCCACATGCATCTATTCATCTGTTCACATATATTAATCTAGCTATCTAGGTGCCCAATCTATCCATATCTATCTCTGTCTATTCATATTAAACATTTTTCATATCTATCTATCTATCTATCTATCTATCTATCTATCTATCTTATATCGATTTCCCTTTTATTCTCCATATCCGTTATATACTATTTATATCTCTACTTTACTTTCTCCATCTCTCTTCTCCGTGCATCCATTATTCTGGATTTCTTCCTATCTGTCTCACTCAGCGTCTCCATTTTTCACCCACTCCGTTTCACTTCATTACCACACTTTATAAATGCACCACCACCCAGCTACCCAGCTACCCAGCTACCCACGACCCCGATTCCATTCCCTACAGTCCCTGTCTGTGCAGATCACCGTTCATTTCGAGTTTATAACTGCCTGAAACGCCAATTAATTCACACAACATTTCATTAGTTAATAGCTCTTTCTAACCACCATTAGATTTCTATTGTGTCTACTGGGTAAACTAATTATTACCTTTTACTCTTTATTTTTTTCTTTCTGGTTTGTTTTAGTCCAACTTTATTTATTTCATTTGTTCATTCATTCGTCTTTTCATTCATTCATTCATTCATTCATTCATTCATTTGTTAATTGTTTCTTTTTTACTCATTCCCTTCTTCCGTTCGTTTTTTCAAATATTCTATTTATTTCCGGGTTGACTATTCAATCGTTTAATTCATTCGCTCATTCGTTCTTTTGCAGATTCATCCCTTTAATTCATTCGTTCATTCTTTTTTCATTCATTCATTCCGTGATTGAACGCTACCTTATTCGTTCATTCGATTTTTATTGTTATTCTTTCCATTTGTTGGTTACTTATTTTTGATTTTTGTTCCACCTTTATGGGTTATGTAATGCCGAAATCTAAATAATTTGCACGTAATTTTATTTATTTATTTTATTTTTGGAGATAATAAGTGTTTTAGTGATACACCTTTTACTAATTAACCCATAGCATGGATAGAAGTTTCTACATTTCCCAAACGACCTCAACAGGAATTCGAACTCGGCTCTCCGATTAACAATTCCGACTCATTATCCAGTATAACTCCAATATATATCCAAGCTTACAGCGCCTGGTATTCTCAAGCGGTTTTCCATCTAGGTACTGGCTAGGCTCGGCGTTGCTTAACTTATGTAATGTTATATTCAGATTGAATTAGATTTAGGTTTCTGAGACGGCCTCCTGGGATCCCCACTTCTAACCTAAGAAACATAAAAGTCACTGTGCAATCGACCTTCGATTATCTCCTGGTTAGGAAATCGATAGATTGTGGTTTATTTACAAAGAAACAGCTGTAGAATATATTTCATTTATTGTTGTTGCTTTCAGTTCAAGTGGCCAGATTTTTCAATTCATTAGCAACAAAAATATCTCAAACCACGAAGCCTTTTAACTTTTCTTTAAAAAGAAAAAAAATCCTGAATCTCTATCGATATTAAACATTGTGAAAATAAAATCAACATAGATATTATATAGGCACTTATGGAAAATAACATTGCAACACTTGGATTATGTTCTACAGAATCCACATAATATTGAAGAATTATGGTAGCGCAGCCAGAGACAATGGAACCGTATACCCAAGAAATTAATAAAGGATTTGTACATATCTCTTCAGCGGCGGATTAAAGCTATTATTCTGGTTAAAGAAAATCAGAGGAAAGACTAAGAATCTTATATTTTATTAATGTTTTACGATTAAAAACGTCCATTTACTTGACTTAGGCAAAATGGTCTAAGACGTATAGACGGCCATTTTGTAGGTTATCGAATATGTTTTCCTTTAAATATAAAACTCCCGCAACGGCTATGTAAAATGACATTCGAACAGTTAACGTATCGTCTGTGAAAAATAGTGGTCAAAAATATTCTTTTACAAAGAGATCATTTATTAAAATATATTATCGTTTAAAGTGACCTTTGACTTTTGCACTGTACTGTAGAACGGTGTGAAAGGTCAGTATGCTTCTCAGAAACACAGAATTGGTCACTTTTTTTTATTTTTCTTGTTTTATTTTCTTGTATTCGGTCTATTTTTGTAATTTCTTTTTTTTTTTTCTTTCGTTTCTTATCTCTTCTTGCCTTCTTTCTTCTTTGATTTCTTCGTCTTTCTTGACATTTTTCTTCTTCTCTGATAAATTGTGTGATTTAAAACTGTCCGGTTTTTCGGCCTCGATTTTCATGAACTCATACTTGCTTTTCTCTTAATCCTTTAAGTTTACGACTACATCACGTTGAAATACAGATTCCCGTACGATCACCGAAGTTAAGCAACTTCTAACCTGGTCCGTACTGATATGGATGGCCGCTTACAAATACCAGATGCTGTAAGCATAGATGTGCGGATGGTGTAATGAATAATCGTTCGGAATTTTTAATCAGAGAGACGAGTTCAAAATCCCGTTGAGTTCGTTATATTCACTTACGCGCAAATACTCTTGGGATGAATCCATCTCTTCTCCCCAGTTATGGGTTAATTAATATGACATGCACCACTAAATCATTGTTATCAAAAAAATAAATTAAAAAACAAAAATTGCGTATAAAATAGTTAGATTTTGGCATTAAATAACCCATAGAGGTGTTGATATGCCGTTAAACAAGAACAACTAAACCAAACCTAAGCATTTATCTTCTTTACATTCCGTCCGTTACGTGCATGAAGAGAGAACCTGTTCTTCTCACAAAACATTACGTATAGACAGCCATTCGATACTCCCAAGTGACCCTCTTGCTATACTAATGGAGACGTGCACAATGGTCTTGTGATCTAAGTGAAAGTCTGACTCATGACGTCATTCCCAACGCATCGTTTTGACGTTCCTGGGGCTACGTTTGCTCTGATTTAATCTGTGGGCGCTATACAATTTGTCGTCCTTATAAAGCGTAAATCTCTGCGAGTGTCTCGTCCAGCATTTTTCTTTCCAGTTCTCCATCGAAAGAACCAAAAAAATCTGGAAAACATACAAGAGCATTTAAAAAACTTTTAATCAAAGAATATGATGCAAAAACCGTACAAGGTGCAATAAACACAGAGTGAAAATTTGCAAGCAATTCCTGTTATTCAAATCATTATACTTATAGAGGATGGGCCAAAAGTAGGCTTACACTTAGTAGGTATGCACATTACATTTTTAAAACATTTTATTACATTTATAAGTTACAATCATATTTGTTCAAAACAGTTTATGTACATTTGTTTAACACTTTACTTACATTTTTTAGCACAGTTTATTCTCTCAAGTGTTCAAAATGTCTTCCGTCAACATTTGCAACATTCCTCGAACCTCTCCAGAACATTATGACACACAGTACAACACAATAAACGATCTGCATCAATGTCAATAAATACTTCTGAGATGTACTTTTTTTTAATTCGTCCACTGTTCCCTCATAGACCTTGTTCTTTACTTCACCCCCACCAAAAAAAAAAAAGAAAAAAAGAAATCTATTGCTGTTAGGTCAGGTGAACGTGGTGGCCATTCGATACTGCCCCTTCTTCCGAACTAACGCTTTAGAAAAGTTTCGTTAAGGTAGTCCCTTACTGCCAGAGCATAATAATCTTGCTGAAAGAACAATTCAGCCAAATTAACTTTGCTTCTGAACTGTGATCTAAAACGTGAAACTAATAGTGAAACAACTGTAAGCCTACTTCTAGTCCACCCTGTATACACCCTTGGGTAGGCGAAGCTGCGTTGACTCGATTATTTCTTTTTTATACTAAATGTTGTAATGTTGTCTTTGTTCAAAATAGCCGAGAATTAGGAAGGCCGTAATTAGAGATCGTATCGAAGGAACAAAAGACTAGGTAAAGGAAACAAAGAACAATAATTTTATTAAATACTAGCAGTAGAGCCCGGTGTTGCCCGGGGATGTAACAGTAAGAGATAGATCAAGTATCGACCATCATAAAGACAGAAAAATAAAATAGACAAAGATTATTGTTTAAGGTTGACGGACACGCATGTCTTAATTAAACTCAAAAACCCAAACTCAAACAAAAACAATTGTTATGAGTCTACTGATTGAATAGAATTTTATTATAAACAATTCTCTTGTAAATGGAATTTTTAAAGCATTCTGAATGTAAAAATAAAGAAAAAATGTGCAAGACAATAAGAAACACTGCCTGCCAAAAAAAAGTGAAGTTTGTTGAAATCGGTTGAAAAATGTAGGAAATCCGATCCCATATATAAACGAACACACACACAAACAACCTGGGTTTTATAATAAGTATAACTCGATATGAGTTATCCCCCTTTCATTCTCGCGATGCCTCTTAATCGTGTTTTCAAATTGAATTCGTGCAAAAACAATTGTGTTTTTCCAATTTTTGGCGCTGTCAGAACCACCGCACGGTAATTTTACGTCGTCCTGTGAAGTTTTGTTGAAATCGGTTGAAAAATGTAGGAAATCCGATCCAATATATAAACGTACAGACACACACACAACCTGGGTTTTATTTAATGTTTTCATACATAGAACGGAAATACTTGATTAAATCCGACTGCAAGACCTCTTAATTGCTGTTGCCCCCAGGTCGGCATGACCCAGGGTGGCTGCACCGGCTAGGGCCCTAGCTTTGGGCAAATAGTGAATCACCCTTCCCCCAATATGGGCTCAAAACATGAATATATAAAAATACATTAGAAAAAATAAAAGCAATACATTTTCATAGTAAAAAAATATCAGCAATTGTCACAAGACAATAAAATTTCGGCATTAAATGACACTTAAGGAGTTGATATGCCGTTAAAAATATCCTACTAAAATCCTACTCTGATGTGGCTACTTGCTATATTTAGAAATAGGTGCAGTCCATTGTCACGCTAGTAGGGAAGAGCGGGAAGAATTCTACTTTACAACACTAAAGTTCACGCATCGAGGGCCACTCAAGATAAAAGGATACTGATAAAATTATCAAGATATGTGAGATGAATGAAAGAGCAGGTAATAGCAAATTAATATTACGATGATAAGGAGAATAGATAATGATTAATTCCTGTCTTGAGGTTATGATTGTAAGGAAGCATCATCGTGGGAGTATGTTTCCCAAGGTAACAGTTCTTGGAACTTTCTCTTTAAATTTGGAATACGGGGGGAAATGAAGGTGATTCGAATCAGTGGAAGTAGCATGGCATTTCCTAGTAATAAAGGTTTAAACTGGTAAATGTAAAGAATGAAGCGCCCATCTGAACATCTGTCATGGAAATGGCTTGCGACCTTGTATCTGTGAGGAAACGGTGTTAGAATTGTTATCTTGGTAATGAAATAACACGGAAGAAAAACAAATGGGAAAGTTAGAGATTAGAAAATTGTTGGAAAATCTTCCAAGTGTGGAAAGTCTTTCCTTGAAAAT